ATTAAAAATCTTCTGGAGGACTTCCAAGGAGAAATCGACAACAATACAATCATAGCAGGGGACTTCAACACCCCGTTGACAGCACTGGATAGATCCTCTAGGCAAAAAATTAGCAAGGAAACAGAGACTCTAAATGAAGCACTAGACCAAATGGATTTAATAGATATCTACAGAGAATTACACCCCAAAACTACAGAATACACAGTCTTCTCAAGTGCACATGGGACATTCTCAAAGATAGACCACATGATAGGACACAAACTAAATCTCTACAAGTTCAAGAAGATTGAAATCATATCAAGCATCTTCTCAGATCACAATGGCATGAAACTAGAAATCAATTGCAACAAGAACATGCAAAGACATTTCAACACATGGAGGCTAAATAGCATGTTATTAAACAATGAATGGGTCACCGAGGAGATCAAGGAAGAAATTAAAAACTTCCTGGAAACCAATGAAAATGAACACACAACAACACAAAATCTATGGGATGCAGTGAAAGCAGTTCTGAGAGGGAAGTTCATAGCACTACAGGCCTACCTCAAAAAACAAGAAAAATTTCTAATTGACTGTCTAACCTCACAACTTAAAGAATTAGAAAGCAAACAAAAAGAAAACCCCAGAGCAAGTAGAAGGAAGGCAATAGTAAAGATCAGAGCAGAAATAAATGACATAGAGACCAAAAAAACAATTCAAAGGATCAATGAAACAAAGAGCTGGTTTTTCGAAAAGATAAACAAGATTGATAGACCCTTAGCGAGACTCACCAAAAAACAAAGAGAGAGGACCCAAATCAATTAAATCAGAAACCAAAGAGGAGAAGTAACAACCAACACCACAGAAATACAAAGGATCGTTAACAACTACTAAGAACAACTAAATGGCAACAAATTCGACAATCTAAGCGAAATGGACAAATTTCTAGAAACACACAGGTGCAGATTGTCAGCTATTCATACTTCTGCTATCAATTAGTATAATTTAGTTGCTTTCCTTTTAGATCCACCTAACATCCGATTCAGTGTAGGACGGCCAGTCCTAGTAGAGAGAAAAGGCTTCGCAGAGCGCCTTAAATAAAAACAGAAAGATGGTTGAATGTGGGTTCCTGGTATATCAGGAGGCTTTGGAGACTAAGAGGACCCTGAGCCCAAGTGCCGGGAAGAGGAGAATGTCCTAAGCTTTCTGGGCTTAGTGACAAAGCCAAACTCTGTCCTTATTGATGTATCTCTGGGGGACAGAAAAGGTATAAAATAGGCATCATAATCTAAAATGTTTTGACTTCTATAGAATAATATTGAAGTTTCCCAATTACCAGTTCATAGATCTATGCATTTCATGTTTCTGACATCTCATTATGTGCCCTTCACTATAGCCCAGAGCTTTTCCCCCTGAGTCACCCTACTGTCTCTCTGTTTTCTACTCTCAACTATGGACAGACTATTGTAGGTATTAACAGTTCACACACATTCATTACCCTACCATTGAGAGGCTGTTTGCCACATCATTCTTCACTAATAAACTCCAAACAAAGGCTAAATATGGAATTAAAAAATTACTGAGCAGGTCTATGTTTTCTTTCTCTAAAGAAGGACATCACACCAGTATCAAGACCAAACAGATTTCAGAAGACCAGAGCTTAATAAAATTACTCAGCTGTCTGATTCATAAAGTTTTTATTCCAGTTCTGGACAATTCTTCTTCCAAAACAGATTCACAAAGAAATATGCCCAAACTGAGATAGTTTATCTTGACTTGCGTAATTATGTCAAGATACGCACTTCAGCTATAATAAAATGAAAATGGTTTTCCTTTCACCTAGCAAAAACAGTTCATGTTTGCCAATCTCTCAAACATAGACAGGTAAAACATATTCAGATGATTGTAGACTCATTTTTTCTTTCATGCAAATATTAATTTCCTCTGTGAAGAATTTTTTGATCGTCATACTAAGCTCACACCATTGTCTTTGTGGATCCATACCAGAACACTGTCGGGGCTTCACACTTCGTGATAGGATCCAGATAAATGTATGGATGTGTTTTTAGTACTTTTGTTGTCTTACTTTATGACATTTCAACTGTTTTTCATTTTATTATCCAGTTATCTAAATATTGTTAACTTTTTTCTTTTAGTTTTTCTTCCTCATGTTTATTGTCATGTTTTTGTATTGTAATCTACACTCAATATTTTCATTTCTCAATTTTTACTCTCATTCTACAATCCTACCTTTTTATATGTTTTGAGTAGGTTTTTACATGTTATAAACCTTTATCTTTGTTAAGCATTTTCTCTTTTATATTACCTCTAATTTTATCTCTGTTTCTTGCAAGTAAATTCTTTTTCTGATTTGTAATTCTTTCAGTTTTGAAATCACATATTATTCTTTAAATACTCTTACTTATAGGTACCTATTTTTTTTTCTGCTTTAATCCCGTAATGGTTTGCTTTCCATTTATTAATTTAGTTTATTTTTTCATATTTTCTCCTATTTTAATAAATTGTTTAGCGATGGCCACAATAATTATGGCCATGGGTTAGGTATGTGGATAAAGTCGACACCACGAGTCAGGGAACTGAGCCTCTGACTCCACTACCCTCACAGCCACCGCTCTGACCTGAACGGATATCCTAGCCTTCAAGAAGGGCTCTCCTCAAGTCCTTATTTACCGTCAGCCCCTAAAAATAAAAGGTTATTTCTTGTAGGGGAAATTATTCCCTTGATATAAACATTATTCTTAAAAAATTATTGGTTGCCATACATCTGGTTCCTTACAAGATAAGGCTCTGTTTATTAGTATTTGTTTAATGCCTGCTCCGTGACATGCATAAACATTAGGCTTGGAGAAAGTGTGATAACGGTCTGTTTGGGATACAAAATTGATGTCTAAATAATGAGGGGCCAGGTGGTACTAATTCTGCCAGTAGACATTCATAGCAGGAAGCATAGGAAACTGCTGCCATTTCAATATTTGTTCTATGTTAATGTATTTATTAGCAGTTTGGCCCTCTTCCCTTTTGGGCTTTGGGCATGACTTTCATCACCCTTGCCTGCCCCCACTTGTTTTGACAGTCTGGGAGAAGCTAGATAGACAGGTCATCCCGGAGGCTTCCCGGGTTACTGGTGTACCTGTTCAGTGGCTCCTATACATTTTCAGAAACTTTCAGTGGGTCTGAACCCATTGGGAAAGATTGATGCTAAGCAAAGAAGAGACATACTTGATCCATTCTGGATATTTTCTGGGGTATGGAGAGACAAATGACTCTGTTTCTTTTTTCCCCCCAAACATCATTTTCTATAAGTAGAAATGAGAGAAAGCCATTTTCAAAACTGAAATTATGGTCACTCTCAGAGAATTCAATCAAGCTAATCCTGATCATGGATGCAAGACTGGAACGTGTAAATGAGGAAACTCTTTTCTTGGTAAATTCTTTTTCTCTGTCTGAAGTAAAAATTTTGTTCGTGAGAATAAAATGGTCTAAATACCATCTACAAAAAAGAAAACTCAGAGAGAAAACTGGTATGATACCTCCAGGATTATCTGGGGGTCCCTAGACCAATAGACACATGTTCTATGTGGCAGATATATATACATACACATATATATATATATATCTACGGTGAAAGTGTCGCACTGGGTAGTGTGGTTTAATGAAGCATTAAGACCATTCAAAGAAACCTGTGTTCTCATTATTTGCATGCCCATGGTCAATTTCATACTATATGAAATAGAAAAAACAGCAGTATCTAGCTTATACTGTGAGGTTTAATAAAATATAACTATGTCTCCTAGAACATAATAAGTACTCAGTAATAATGTGGTACTTTTGTATAATTTATGCTATCAAATAAGGATCTGTAACTGCTATTACAACTATTACAAGATTCTTATAGACATGTAGTAGACACACATGTAATAATAAATGTAGGTAGTGTTCTAGAGCTTTTGTTAAATACAGCAATGACATTATAAAAAATATTTTCCATCCTATAACTTTAAGAAAAAGTTCTGATTTTTGTCTGTGGCTATTTTTCCAGTTCCGTGTAATTCATAATTATCAGCTTGTTCAATGTGCCAGCAAACCTGATATCAAAACACTATTTATAAAGTGCTGTATTCGTCAGCTCAGGCAGGGTTCAAGGGTTCACTTTCTGGTGAAATCTCTCTTCCTGGTTTGCAGATAGCTGTTTTCCTTCTGTCTTTCCGTCTTCCCACGAATCCATGGAGTCAGGGGAGAGGGAGAGGAAGAACTTCTCCCTCTTCTTATAAGGCCATAGTCCCATGACCTCATTTAAAGTTAAGTATTTCCTAAAGACCTTATCTCCACTTTAGGGATTTCTGTCACATTAGGGATTGGGGCTTCAACATATGAATTTTGCAGGGACACAATCAATCCATGGAAACTGCACAGTCCAATTAGAAGGAATTGGCATTGGGTTTTGAAAAATAAACAGGATTTCAGAGTACTCAAGTGAACAGAAATCTAGGAATAACACCTATGGCTTTAATGAGAATAGTTAAAACCCTATATTAGCATGAGAAAACATTCACTTACATTAACCAAATCTTTATTTTCCGACTATGAGAAGGAACAGATGGAGGAGGGGAACTATCTGTTATGTTGGGATGTTTACTATTAGGGATCTACTTAACCCATTTATAAGGCAAATTTCTCCATTTAATAATATTTTCAATAAGCCCAATTTGTTTACAAACATTATTCAAAGACAGGCAACCGGGAGATGAGTTAAATATATTTCATCTTAGAAGGATGATGCTAATCCTTAATAAAAAGTAATTTTATCTCAATTTTATTTCAGGCCTTTGTGCTTAAAATAAGATGTGTTAATTGAAACTAGGTTTCACTTAGTAACTAAACCTGCAAAAGGCACGCTAAATTCCTTTTATTTGTTGTTGTTGATCAATATTCTTCACCACGGGTAACTGCTGTTGTCAACAAATCCAATGTGGTTGACTCACTGATAATGTCATCATTTTACAAGCATCTAGCAATCTATTAAGTCATAAAATTCAACATATGGTCAATATCAGATACTATGTAAGAAATGTGCATAGCATATCAAAAATGCATGAATTCTGTGGACATAAAGTAGACAGAAATCTCTTTATAAGATATATAGATCTTTCCATTATTACTGTCTATATAAGAGAGGAGTTTGCATTGACACATGACAGGAAGGATTTACTAGTAATAGAGAAGTTAAATAAAATTAGAAAACTATTATGCTCATGTAATCTGTAAATTCTGAGGTTTATAAGGAGAAAGGTTAATATTTCATATAGTGAGAATCAGCATTTCATAGGATAAGAAATGAGCTGTTATTACAAGTAAGGAGTGACCTTGTCAAATCAGCTAAATGTGTTATTGAAATGAAGCATTAGTCACGTAGGAAATACCTTCTCTTTTAGAACTGAAAAAGAGTGCTGGGTTTTGGTCTTTTCTTTGACTTTTTCTAGACTGCTATAAAAATTAGTTCAAAGGCTAATTGATTAATTTGTTTTTTATGGTCACATATACAGATATTTAAAAATAAAACATAACAAAATTATATCTTTCTGGGACTTTTATTCATATATTATTGCATGATTTTTATTTTTCCTTCACATATTCTTACTTTAATCACACTATATCAGAATTTTTTTCTTCTTTTTCTAGTATTTGGAAAACAGTTTATAAAATAATTTATCTTAAACAACTTAAATAATGACCAAGGTCATAATCATTTATGGAAATTTATACATTGGTCTGAATCTTATTTCTTCTCTATGCACCAAAGAATCACTGGCCACGAAAGGAATACAACAAAGTTTTGCAGTGGTTATTATTTTTGGTTACATAGAAACAGCCATTTTTAAAAATTTTTAAAACTCAACACTTTAGAACATGATACAAGGTTTATCATAAGAGGAAAATAAGCAACATTGACATTGTAGTTAGATCTCTTGAGTTAGCCGTAGTTTTGGTGACTTGGAAAGTAATTTGCTAAGCTACAGATTTCTAGTGAAATTGGATCTTTATATATTAAAAACAAATGAAGCTAAATACCCCCACCAGTTTCTCTGGAGGTGAGTAGGATATTCCTGAGTCAGTCCTATGACACAGCTGGAACTAGTAACAGACACTTAGGATTACTGACTAAGAAGCTCATTTGGGACTGAGACGAGCAGTTCTAATTCGAGCCTCCTGGGCCATCGTTCAAATATATTATTATTCAAATAGCTAATGAGACAGGAAGAGCTCCAACCATAATTGACTTGTGTTCTCTGGGGATGTCAGCTCTGAGAGTAGATCTACATAAATCCCCCAAGTGTATTGTAGACAGAAAGTATTGTAATTAATTTACTCATCAGGCCTAAAGCATTATGAGTGAAAGAATTGCCCAGATCCTCCTTTACCAACTGCTGGAGTCCAACTTCTCTAGGAAAAAATAGATAAGCCTACTTTCACATATTCTAAAATAGACACACATATGATTTAAAACATGGAATATATAATATAGTATATATATATATATGTGTGTGTGTGTGTGTATTTCTCTACTTTCCCAAAGAATATGATAAAATTTTTAAAAAAGCACCCAAAGCACCCATATATAGGACAGTGTGGTTCTGTATGTCACAAAAGTCCAATTAGATTAAAATTGGTATCATTTTTATTAACATCAATTATCATTATTCCTGCTATATTATATATGCCCTGTGTCATAAAAACTAATTTACTTAGAGATTTAAAAAAAAATTTTAATTGGAAACTTTTAGTTTAGACATGGCTAAAACTATTTCTTCCCAAAATCCAGTAAAATAAAAAAAGTTATAAATATATATATATATACATACATACATACATACATATATCTACCTACATATGTAGAGAGAGAGAGAGAGAATCACAAAGAGGACAGAAAAGGAGACGATACAGATGAGAAGTTTCAACACAATTTGGAAGGTTGAGAGTACAGATGAGTGGTAACTGACTTTAGATGGGGAGGGAACAAAACCTGGGCACCTGTAGTAGACTGTCCTGGTGAAAAAAACACAATTCCTTCATAGAGCTTGGGAATTCAAAGTATTAAAAAAGGTAACATGAGATATAGAGCAGATACAAGATTTATTGAAAGTACATATTAATTGTATTTAGTCTCTACATTCTTCCTCTGACTCCAAAAGAGCCGAAGGCTCTACTGTCTGGAGTAACTGTCGTGGAGAGTTTTCAGACCAGGAGGAGGCAAAAGGCCAAGATTAGGAGAATTAATTGAATAATGAAACTCTTAGGCCTCTGTTTCCATACCATTTATAGGATGAGCTTTAGCAAACTGAATACAACCTGAACCTATTCTACAGGAAGGGGATCATAAATTCTTTTCTGGGAAAAGGGAGTGGCCTCAGAAAACATAACATATAAATATTATGATTACATAGCACCCAGATAAATACATAACCTCTGAACCCCAGAAGTCAACAATCACTTTGCACGTGCAGCTCCAAAGTCACTTACACATGAACAGACAGCCAGGGATCACCAGGAATTTGAAGAATGCTTCCAACATTAACAAAAGAAGAAGAAGAAAAGCCAAACTACACAAACAGAAGAAAAGAAGTGGAAGAGCTAGAGATAATATTAAAAAAAAAAAAAAAAAACTCTAAAAGTAACAGTATTCTCAGTGTAGGAACATAGAGTATCACATGCGTACAAAAAGTAGAATATAATAAATATACAGCAAAGAAGAACAAAAGCTAGTGCAAATTAGTAATAGGATATTAGATATGTTAAAAATGCAATAAAACATTTTGCAAGATTAAGGAAAATCTCCACTCCCCCCTCTCCTCTGCCACACACACACATACAAAGAACAACATAAAAGACAAAGGAATAGATCATGGAGAACAAAGGAAGGAAAGTTAAGGATCATTCTAGGTGGGCCAACATCCACTAAAGAGTTTCAGAAAGAGAGGAAAGAAATTATTCTCCGGAACTGGAAGGCTTTTGTTCTGGTTACTATTACTACGAAACAAAATACCCCCAAATTTAGCTGCTTTAAACAATCTTTTAACCTTGCTCATGGCGTTAGGGGATAGGAATTGGGGCTGGGAACAGTGAACATGGCTTGTCTCTGCTCCACAATTTCTGGGCCCTCACCTAGGAATACTTGACAGCTAGGGGTGACAAGGACAGGGAGTTGGAATCACTTGGAGTCATTTCACTCATATATCTGGCAATTGGTGCTGGCTTGCAGCTGCCCTCATCTGAATCCATGAGAGCTACATCTAGCTTCTCCATGCAGCCTGGCCTTCCTCACAGAATGGAAGTTACAAGGTAGCCAGATTTCTTAGTGCTTCAGCAAACAATATTGAAGATGTATCACCTTTTATTACCTAGCCTTGGAAGGTCACACACATTATTTCCAGTGCATGTACTGGTTTCAAATGAGCACTAAATCTACCCCCGAATCAAGCAGATGAGACATAGATCCCACCTCTCTACCGGAGAAGTATCAAAGGTTTGAAGGTATGTTTTAAAGGTGCCACAGCCTGAATGCCAGAATAAAGGCTTAGGAGTATAAACTTTCTTACACAAAAACGCTGATAGTAAACATTTTAAAACATTTAAAATGAATATATCTTTCTAGATGTTATCAGAAAGGAAAAAAACAACCAAATATAGATGATAAAACATAAAAGTGATGTGGGATTTCTCAAGGTTTACACTAAAACCCAAAATATTATATCAATGCCTGTACATTTCTACAGACTCAGTTTTTGACAAGAGGCCAAGAAAGTGAAATGGAAGGAAATAGTCTTTCCCAGCAATGCTGGGAAGGCAACAAGAGAGCCCCAAGGGAAAAAACAAAGCTGCATCTCTACCTCACACCACATATGAAAACTAATTCCAAATGGATGAAATACCTAAATGTAATAGTGTTTCTCACATCTTCCACCCTCTTAGAAGGAAGCATGAGTATAAACCTCCGTGAGCTTGCGTTAGGCGATGGTTTCCTATCCGTGGCACCTAGAGCAGAAGCATCCAATTTTAAAATAAATTGTCTTTCATCAAAATTAAAAACTTTTGTTCATCAAAAGAAACTACCAAGAAAGTGAAAAGACAAACCTCAAAATGAAAGAAAATATTTGTACATTATGTATCTGATACAGGTCTAGTACCCAGTATATATAAAGTGTTCTTACAACGCAACAATAAAACAAAGAATTCTTAAAAGTGAGCAAAGGATTCAGAACTGCCTGACATTGATCTGAATGGAAGTCCTATGACTATGAAATGAAAGATGCCACATGGGACTGGTAGGAGGGGCGGAGGCGAAGATGGGCTGGTCCCATACCCATGTGGGGCAGATAAAAATCAGGAGAGACACCCGGCTGTGAAGGTCCTCCCTGAGGAGGAGGGGGCCCTGTCTCACACCAGGCCCCCCAGCTCAGGGTTCCAGTACCAGGAAGAGAAGTCCCCATAACTTCTGGTTGTAAAACCAGTTAGAATTGAGGCTGAAGGAGGCTGAGGCTCTGGAGTCCCAGGCAGTTCCTCTTATAGGTCCCGCACACAGACTTACTCGGACCCACTTCCTCCAGGCTCCAGCATGGGGGAGGCATCTTGAAAGACACCAGAGACATACTGGGAAGAACTGAGTTGTTTGGCATCAGGGAAAGAGCTGGAGAGGCAGCTTTCTCCCACACAGACATGCTGGTGGAGGCTGTTGCTCCTTTGGGGAGCCCTTTCCCAATGGGGCAGGCAGATGGATGCCATACCTGGGACTCCAGCAACCTCCCTCACTCTGTTTGCCCCACCCTCATTATTTCCTGAGGTCCTGCCCAACCCAACTTTCAGGCCCACCCAAGCTGTTTCCAGTGTCTTTACCATAGGATTGGCCTGTCTTGGTTCTTGCTTCAAATTTTCCTACATTCTCTCAAACAAACAGCATCCAGCCTCAGCGAGCCCCTTACCTCTAGCTATGTGGCCCCAGGCCTGGCACTAAAAGCAGCCAGCCTTGGTTCAAAGCTTGGCTCTTCCTGGGCACCGCCAAGCCCAGCACAAGCAGCAGCCATCTGCAGATCACTTTGTAGCATATGCCTGGTGGACCAGGTAGAACACAGGCAGGGGCTGACCTTTCCCCAGAGCCAGCACACCCAGTGGACAGCTTCAGACCATGTTGAAACACACCACCCACCACCTCCGCTAGCAACTCACTCAAGGAGTAAACTCATTGGGTACCAGAGCCCTGCTGAAGTAAGTCTTGCTCTGTGTGGTGGGCCTCTGCACAGTTGATCCTCCAAGGTAGTCAGAGGTCAGTGGGCACAGCCAGTCCTTGCAACTGATCAGCCTGAGTAAATCCCTCTCATTAATGTGCCAACAGCCATCAAGACTCAATTACAACCGAAGGGTGTACAGTCCACACGAGGGGGGCACCTCGAGGGCCCAGCTGGGGTGACCAGGGAGGCTGTGCTACTGCATCCTATAGGACACCTACTAAAATAGGCCAACATAGGAACCCTAGGAGACATAGAATACCTAATACAAGAAACAAACACAGAGAGACAGCTAAAATGAGGAGACAAAGAAACATGTCCCGAATGAAAGAACACAACAGAACTCCAGGAAAAGAAGTAAATGAAATGGAGATAAGCAATCTAGCAGATACATACTTCAAAACACTGCTTATAAGGATGTGCAAGGAACTTAGTGAGGACCTCAAGAGCATAAAAAAGGATCAGTCAGAAAGAAAGAATGCACTAACTGAAATAAAGAATAATTTATAGGGTATCAATAGTAGAGTAGGTGAAGCCAAGAGGCAAACCATCAATTTGGAATATAAGGAAGCAAAAAACACCCAATTAGGACAAAGAATCCAAAGAAATGAGGCTAGTGTAAGGAGCTTCTGGGACAACTTCAAGTATACCAACATTTGCATCATGGGGGGCAGGGCAGAAGGAGAAGAGAGAGAGAGCAAGAAACTGAAAACCTATTTTAAAAAATAATGACAGAAAATTTCCCTAATTTGGTGAAGGAAACAGACATACAAGTCTAGAAAGCACACAGAATCCTAAGCAAGATGAACCCAAAGAGGTCCACACCAAGACACATCATCATCAAAATGCAAAAGGTTCAAGACAAAGAGAGAGAGCAAGCAGAACAGAAATAGACTCATAGATACAGATAACTTTTTGTTCCTTGCCTGATGGGATCTGGCTTCCTTCTCATTTCAGCTCCCTCCTTACAGAACTCTCTTATGAAGAACCTCACAGAATTCATCTGTGTAGCAGCAGAGGTTAGACCTTGACTCTACTCAGACCAAGTGCACGTGTTTAAATCCAGAACTTCCAGATAAAACACAAATGACAAGCAAGGAATAAAGATGATCACCCAGAGCAACACCAACAACAGCAAATGGAGCTTCAGCAGATGACAGTTTACAACCAAGATGCAAAAGACAGAAGAGGGAAGCATGATAACTGATGAAGCCGAGAGAAGGAAACCTCCACCTGAAACAGTCTAAGCAGGAGCTGCAACAGGAGAAAGTCCACACAGCAAAGTGGGGCTCCAGAGAACTCGGACATCAGAGACGTGAGCTGAGAAAGGGCCAGAGTGGGGGCTGGGGCACTAAAACGTTGACCTTGCAGGAAGCCTATAAGGAAGCCCTTTTCCTTCAACAACATCTCAACACATTAACAACAGTCACCTGCTTAAGTCTAAATAAAAAATCATCAAATATCTCTCTTTTTAAAAAACTGGGAAGAACCAAGGAAACTTATATGACAGTTAGTTTCAACAACAAACTTGAAGTTCTCTTTTTCTGGCCCTTCGAAGAACACCATCAAACGGCTGGCTCTGCACCATTTGCTCTAAAGTGAACCATCTGCTAGTAAGTCCCAACGTCTGTATATCCAGGGCCAAGTCACGCTCTTCACTGTCAAACATGGACGGACAAAAAAGGGTCACATGATATTTGAATAAAGCTTTGATATGGAAAAATAGATGATGAAGAAACAGATGTTCTGATTAATATCCTCAAATATGTGTAAAATATTATGTTCATAAAATACAAAACATGACAAACAGAATAATAGCAACATTTTATAACATACTTGTAGAAAAAAATTTAAATAGATAAAAATAGTACTAAAGAAAATCTTCTAGAACGTAGAACAAAAAAGAAATAGAAGAAACAAAGGACCCATCTAACAAATCTATTATCAAAAAAAAAAAAAAAAAGGAAATGAAAAACATAGAAGGAAAGAAATAATACGAGAAAATCTTCTGGTACTGAAGAGAGCCCAGGGTTTTTAATAAGAAAGGGTCCACTAGTGCTGAAAGAATGAATAATGACCTATACCTAGGTGCACAATTTAGAAATGTTATAACATAAGGAACCAAGTTTTCCTCCTGTATCTCTTCGTGTTTTTAATAGTACTGTCTTCAACTTTGTACATTTTCTTAAAAACTGCTTTTCATACCATGAATCAAAGTTCCTCTTATGAGTTTCTATACAAGATCCTGACCTCTCACAGTAGGATTCCTGTCTAGGACCTGTCCCTTGACGCCCCTCGGGTGAGGTCCCATGCGTGTCACAGGCCAGGCAGTTCCTTCAGTCCACATCCTGCCTACCCAACTGGTTAGTGCCTATTAGCTGATTCTCCTCCTTGCTCCCCTTATGAGGACCAATCTCCTCCTATGACCTCTTTCGAAGAGAACCCTAAATAATCTCTTCTGGGAAAGAGAAAAGACGTTGGTATTTCTGAAGAATTGGGTCCTTTTGAATAAATTTTGCTGAAACTTGGGACCCTCAGCTAAGAGCAGGACTGGGGAAGTTAACTGACAACTGTAGGAGTGGTGAGAGAATTCCAGAAGTATCGACCTAACTCTAGATGTACATATTTACATTTCAAGAGAGAATGAGGCCTGGAACCGTGGAGACTTCTTCAGTCATAAAATCCGGATTTTATGTGGAAAGATATATTTACATTACAAAAGTTAGAGTGGGAACACGGGATCCTTTTCATCCATCTCCAAGGAGAAAAAATAATAATATTTTTTTATTTTCCTTTTAGAAAGATAGGAGGCAGTTGCCGCTAACTACTGTATATAAGCAGAGAAAATCCATTTTTTTCTGTTTCGCTCCTACTATCCACATTTTGAAATTTGCATTTACACGACATTATACCTAGCTTTCATCTTATTGCCCAGGGGTAAAAGTCAGACTGTGGAAAATTACACAATCGTTATTTGATTTCTAAGTGAATAATGATATTCTAGCTTTGATCCAGAAGACTTCATATGTACATTTAAAACTAAACTAATAAAGATGAATATTTAAAATGCAACACTGATCCTGCCCTAACTCCAAATTAAATAAACAGTCCTTATAATAACTCCAGAGGTGTAAAATCAAAACTCCCAAATGTTAGCTTTTGAAGGATAGAAATAAATGTATTTTTTCATTTTGTAATCTATGATGATACTATAATAAATTTCACAATTATGTAAGACAACCAACAAGGAAAGTAAATATAATTAATTTTTTCTCACTCAAAAGATACATAATATTAACCTATTTGAAGTAATTTATTTATAAATAGCATTGAATTAATCATATAGCAATGGCTAAAACTGGAAAATAACATTTCCAGCTGGATTCAGGCCTAACTAAGGCTAAAATAAGCTGTATATTTTAAAGGTCGTCTTATCTCATCACTTATTTACAGCCTCCGTAAGGGGGAATTACATACATATTTCCTGATAAAAACTGAAGGAAAGCATTTCCAGTGGGTGCCCCCCGCCACTGGACGATTTCCCTACTGGGATGTGGGTACACCCCAAATACCAAATGCTAAGCACACTGCCCTCCACGCTGTCACTACCCTTATTTCCCTCTGCCAGCTTTTTCATGGCCAGCTCCCAACCTTAGACGTGAGTAGACTCTAGTGAGAGAAACCAGAAACTTGTGCTATAGCGCCACCTACTGGAAAACAAAAGGAAGGCTTCTAATTACCGACGTGCTAATTGCTAGAATAAAAAAAAAACAAAGCCTATGTAAATAAAATTGTTCACTACTTCTAATGCAGAAATAGAGACTTTTTTGCATTAAACACTATGTAAATTATAGTAATATAGTATCACAAAATGAAAATGTCAATTTTTCAGCAACTGAATCCAAAGACACAGGATATTAAAATCTGACTCATAGAGAATTCAAAATAGATATTATGAGGCAATTCAGTGAGCTACAAGAAAACTCAGAAAGGCAATACAATGATCTCAGAAAGAAAATTAAGAAACAGAAGGAGAATTATACCAAAGAGATTGAAATTGTAAAGAATATCCAAACAGAAAATTTAGGGCGGAAAAACCCAATAAATGAGATGAAGGATGCATTACAAAGCATTGAAAATGAGCAGATCTGATAGAAGAGAGAATAAGCTAGTCCTAGGATAGGGATATAGAAGTGATTCAGGTGTAAAAGCAGAGAAAACTAAGATTTTTTTAAATGGAAAAACCCTATGAGAACTACCAGAGTCCACAAGGAAAGACAACATAAGATTGATGGGTATACCAGAAGGAGAAAAGAGAGAGAGAGGGGAGCAGAAAGCATATTTAAAGAAATTAGCAGCTGAGAACTCCCCAAACCTGGGGAAAGAACTGGGTATGCAAGTCCACAAACCTATTAGAACACCCTTATTATCTCAATGCCAAAAGACCTTTCCAAGACACCTTACATTAACATTTTCTAAAGCCAATGATAAAGAAAGAATTTTAAAGGCAGCCAGAGAAAAGACAGTAGCCTAAAAACATACCCCCATCAGGGTATCAGCAGATTTTTCAGCAGAAACTCTACAGGCCAGGAGACAGTCAAGTTACATATTTAAAAATACTGAAAGATAAAAATTGCCAGCCAATAATTAAATCATGGCAGCAATACTTAAGATTTGAAGAAAAATGGATTTCCAGACAAACAAAAAGAAAGTCACCCACCAGACCCGCTTTATAAGAAATATGGAATAAGTTCTTCAGGCTGAAATAAAAAACTGAAAGTACACAATTCTCTGATTTAGGTGACACTCTACAATTAGAATTAGAAATCTGTAATTTTTTTTTTTTCAGGATAGTATGGTAAAGTGTTAAATATAGCATGAAAGGAAAAGAGCAATAAACTACCTATAGCTCCTACAACTTCATAACAAAATCACAACATAAAAAGGGATATTTGTGACATAAAATATATATTAAAAAAGGGAAGGGTAAAAGGATGGAAGCTTTATAGGTAAATGAAGGTAAATCACTGTCAGGAAAAAAAGAAAGATAATTTTGTGTAAACCTCATGGTAACCACAAAGCAAAAATCTAGAGTAGAGACATGTAGATTTTAAAAAAGGGAGTGGCTGGGAGAGACTGAGCCAATCACCGTGGAAAACTACCAATTTACCCAGGTGGACAGAAACAGAAGAAAAAAGAAACAATGGAGAGACAAAATAACCTGAAGGAAAAACACAAAATGGCAGTAGTAAATTCTTACATATCAATAATCACCGTAGATGTAAATGGATTGAACTCACCAATCAAAAGGCATAGAGTGGCTGGATGGATAAAAAAGCAAGACCTAACCATAGGCTGTTCATAGGAGATTCATTTCAGCTCTAGAGACATACAAGATAAAATGTATGAACAAACAAAATGGCAATGAATACATATCTATCAACAATGGAATCTACAAACAAAATGAACAGGAAGAACAGAAACATTCTCATAGATACAGAGACCATTTTGTTGGTTGCCAGTTGGGAAGGGGGTTGGGGGAATGGGTGAAAAAGGTGAAGGGATTAAGAAGCACAAATTCATTGCTAGACTGACAAACCTCAAAGGGAAAGGGGTTGGGGGGGTGGGAAGAAATAAACCAAAGAACTTATATGCATAACCAATGGACACAGACAATAGTGTGGGAAAAGGTGGGAGGGGGCGGGAGTGGGGAGGAGGGGGTCAATGGGGGAAAAATGTGGAACATCTGTAATACATTTTACATCCAACAATAAAGATGTGAAAAAAAAAATAAAAATAAAATAAAGACATACATGAGCCCAAGGTGACAGAAAGAAAGATGATATTCTAGGAAAATGGAAACCAAAAGAGAATGCAGACAGTCATACTTGTATCAGACAAAAAGGGTAACAAAACTTTAAACCAAAATGGGTAACAGGAGACAAAGGTGGTGATTATTAATGATAAAGGGGTCAGTACATCAAGAAGATAGAACAATTGTAAATAAATATGCTTCCAACACTTGAGCATCTAAATATACTAAGCAAATACTAACGAACCTTAAGGGAGAAGTAGACAATAATACATAATCATAGGGGACTTTAAAACCACACTATCGATTTTCTAGATAGAAAAATCAACAAAATATTGGAATTGAACCACACTTTAGAAAAAAATAGGCTTCAGAGACACATACAGAACATTTCATCCAACAGCAGCAGATCATATGTCAGGCCACAAATCTTAAAAAATGTAAGACTGCAATCATATTAAGCATGCTTTCCAACTAAAACGGTATGAAACTAGAAATCAGTTACAGAAAGAACACTAGAAAATTCACAGATATATGAAGACTGAACAGCATGCTACTGAACAACAAATGGCTCAACAAAGAAGTCAAAATTAAAATAAAATATCTTGAAACAAATGAAAATGAAGTGCAATGTATAGTAATCAGTTGCATTTTTTCCAACCAGCATTGTTCAACTGCTGTACTGCAAGAAGCTCACTGGTGTGCCACAAAAAATTTTTAAATATACAATACCTAGGGCACTGACCTCTTTTCCCTTAGATTATCAAAAGAATGACAACAGCTAAAACAACAATATCCATCCAGTGTGAATGAATTAAAATTATACCTACTTTTTTGGTCAGATCAGCAAATAATATATTTTTTGTGTGCCGCAGAATTTTAGTAATTAGTTTATATGTATCATGAGATGAAAAAGGTTGAAAACCACTGCTGTGGATGAAAGAATCTGAAAAAGAATGAAAGAAAACTATGCCATTCACCATAGCATCAAAAACAATATATAGGAATAAATTTAACCAAGGAAGTGAACAACCTGTACATTGAAAAATGGTAAGACTTTGATGAAAGAAATTGAACAAGACAAACAAATGGGATGACATCCCATGTTCATGGATTGGAAGAATATTGTTAGAATGGCCAAACTACCAAAGCCATCTACAAATTTAGTGAAATCCTCATCAAAATACCAAAGGCATTCTTCACATAAAAAATAGAAGAAACAGTTCCTTTTCTATGTCAGACAAAATAGATTTGATTTTATTTTTCTATTTTTAATTTTTATTGAATTTATTGAAGTAAGATAGATTAATAAAATTATAAAGGTTTCAGGTGTGCGAGTCTATAATACATCATCTGTATATTGTATTGTGTGTTCATCCCCCAAAGTCAAATCTTTCATTACCATTTAACCCCCCTTTGCCCACTTCTAACTCCCCCCACTGTTCTTTCATTCTGGTGATCACTATACTGTTGTCTGTGTCTGTGAGTTTTTTGTCATTGTTTTTTTTTTTAATTTGCTTAATCCCTTAACCTTTTTCACCCAGCCTCTGACCTCCCCTTCTCTCTAACAGCTGTCAGACTTTTCTATGTATCTGAGTCTATTTCTATTTTGTTTGTTAATTTTGTTCATTAGATTCCACATATAAGTAAAATCACATGGTATTTTTCTTTCTCTGACTGACTTATTTCACTTAGCATAGTACTCTCTAGGGCCATACATGCTATCACAAATGGTAAGATTTCCTTCTTTTTATGGCCAAGTAGTATTCCATTGGGTAAATGTACCACTGCTTTTCAATCCACTCATCTACTTAAGAACACTTGGGCTGCTGCATCCAAATTTTGGCTATTGTAAATAATGTTGCAATGAACATAAGAGTGCATATATTCTTTTAAATTAGTGTTTTGGGTTTCTTCAGATATATTCCCTGAAGTGGAATTGCTGGGTCATAAGGCAGTTCCATTTTTAATTTTTTGAGGTAACTCCATACTGCTCTCCACAGTGGCTGCACCAGTCTGCATTCATACCAACAAAGCATGTGTTCCCTTTTCTCTACATTCTTACCCACATTTTGTTAATTTATTGATGATAGCCATTCCAACAGATGTAAGGTGGTATCTCATTGTGGTTTCAATGGGCATTTCTCTTATGGTTAGTGATGTTGGGCATCTTTTCATATCTTGGCCATCTGTATGTCCTCTTTGGTGAAGTGTCTATTTATGTCCTTTGTCCATTTTAAAAAATTGGATTGCTTGTTTGTTTGGTGTTGAATTGTATAAGTTTTTAATAAATTTTGGATATTAACCTCTTATCAGATGTATCATTGGCAAATGTATTTCCCCATTCAGTGGGTTGTCTTTTCATTTTGTTGATGGTGTCCTTTGTTGTGAAAAACATTTTTAGTTTGATATAATCCCATTTATTTATTTTTTCTTTTGTGTTTCTTGCCTGAGGAGACATATCAGAAAACAATATTGCTACAAGAAATGTCTAATATTTTACTGCCAATGTTTTCTTCTGTGATTTTTATGATTTTACATCTTACATTTAAGTCATTAATCCATTCTGAGTTTATTCTTGGGTGGTGTAAAAAGATGGCATAGTTTAATTTTTTGTGCATATCTGTCCAGTTTTCACACCACTTATTAAATAGAGTGTCTTTACCCCATTGTATGTTCTTGACTCCTTTGTCAAATATTAATTGACCACAAAAGTATGGGTTTATTTCTGAGCTCTCTATTCTGTTCCATTGATCTATATGTCTGTTTTTATGCCAGTACCATGCTGTTTTGATTACTATGGCCTTGTAATACAGTTTGATATCAGGTAGGATAATTCTTCCAACTTTGTTCTTCTTCTTCAAGATTGCTATGGTTATTTGAGGTCTTTTTTTGGTTCTGTATAAATGTTTGGAATATATGATCTAGTTCGGTGGAATATGCCATTGGTATCTTGATAGGAATTGCATTGAATCTATAGATTGATTTGGGTAGTATGGACATTTTAATGGTGTTAATTCTTTCTATCTTTGAACATGGTACATGATGCCACTTATCTGTATCTTCTTCAATTTCTTTCTTAAATGCTTCATAATTTTCTAAGTACAGGTCTTTTACATCTTTGGTTTAATTTATTTTAAGGTATTTTATTTCTTTTTATGCATTTTTTAGTGGAATTGTTTTCTTAGTTTTCCTGATAGTCCATTATTGGTGTAAAAAATGTAATTGATTTCTGGACCTTTATTTTATATTCTGCTACTTTACAGAATTCACTTATCAGTTCTAGTAGTCTTTTGGTGGAATCTTTAGAGTTTTCTATATACAGCTTATGTCATCTGCAAATAATAATGAGTTTTACTTCTTCCTTTTTTGTTTAGATGTTTTTTACTTCTTGTTCGATTGCTGTGATGAAACAGTTCTTAAATTAGTGTAAAACCACAGAAGATCTCGAATAGCCAAGGTAAACTCCAGAAAGAAAAAAAAAAGAAAGAACAAAGCCTTAGTATCAAACGTCTGCATTTTAAACTGTACTACATAGTCATAGTAATATAAACAGTATGGTACTGGCACAAAATTGACACATTGACCACTGGCACAGAATAGAGAACCCAGAATTAAATCCTGGCATATACAGTCAACTTATATTCAACAGGGTATCTAAAAATATATATTGTGGAAAAGATATTCAACAAGTAGTGCTGAGAAAACTGAAAGCACACATGCAGAACAATAAAATTGGATCCCTAGCTCACCCAAATTAACTCAAAATAAACCAAAGACTGAAATTTAAAATCTGACACTATAAAACTTATAGAAGAAAATGTAGGAAAGAAACTCCTTGATATTGGTCTTGGAAATTCTTATTTTTTTGATATGATGCTAAAACATATCAAAAATCAACAAAAGGACTGCCTTAAACTCAAAAGCTTCACAGAGAAAGAAACCATCAACAAAATAAAAAGTCAACCTACAGAATGGAAGACATTTTTTGCAAATCGAATATTGGAGAAAGGGTTAATATCAAAGTACACGAAGAATGTAGTCACTTTAATACTAACAATGAAAAAACAAACTAATTTAAAAGTGGGTAGAAGAACTAAGTAGACATTTTTCCAAAGAAGACATAAAATGGCCAACAAGCAGATGAAAAGATGCCCAACTTTAATAATTAACGTGGAAAAGCAAATCAAAATGACAATAAGATATCACCCAACACCTAGTAGGATGGCTATCATCAAGAAGAGTCAGCAGGCGCTGGCGAGAATGTGGTGAAAAGGGATTCCTTATACACTGTTGGTGGGAATGTAAATTCCTCCAACCACTAAGGAAACATATGAATTTTCTTCATAAAATTGAAAATAGATATGCCATAAAACCCAACAATTCCACTTCTGAGCACATACCCAAAGGAAAGGAAAACAGGATTTTGATATGATATATGCACGCCTATGTTTCTCACAGCATTATTCACAATAGTGAAGATATGGAAATAACCTAAGTACCCATCAATTAATGAATGAATAAAATATAATGAGAAAGGAGGATGTATGGCATTTGTAACAACGTGGA